TTTTTTTTTTTTAAAGTAGCATTATCTTAAACATGGGCAGAAACAGGAACACTGGCAGTTGTGCCTGCACAGGCATCTGCAGGCCAGGTAATCTCATAACCCTTTCACCCAGCCCACAGGAAGACAGCATTCGCTCTGTTTACCCGGGAGAAAACAGACACTCTGGATGGCTTCATCCCATGTCCAAGGCTATGTGGCCACATAAGGCAAACAGCTGTCACAGGCAACAAAGCCAATATGCAAGCCTCAGAAGGGCATAGGCCCTGCTTTCAACTGAGAGCTTTAGGGTCACATGCCACTGATTCAATGAGTGATTTTAGAACAAGTTATTTTACCTCTCTGAAGCACAGTTTCTTCTTATAAAAATGGGGAGATAACAGCATGCTGTTTCTTTGGTTGATCTATAGATTAAAATAAAGACCTGAGACAAAGCCAGGTGCTAGGGCTCGGTTTCTTCCCCACCAGGACAAGTCTGCAGTCACAGTCTCTGCTCTAAGCTGCCACCACACACACATTAGAGTACTTCCCCACCTGGAAAGAAACCAAAGAAACAAGCCTTCTGGCTGGTTGCTTCTAGCACATAGCTAGTTATATTCTTTTTTTTAAAAAAAGAGAGAGAGAGAATTTTTTTAATATTTATTTTTTTTTAGTTTCCAGTGGACACAACATCTTTATTTTATTTTTATGTGGTGCTGAGGATCGAACCTAGTGCCCCGTGCATGCCAGGCGAGCGCGCTACCACTTGAGCCACATCCCCAGCCCCATAGCTAGTTATATTCTTAAATATTAACTATTGTTAGCAAGACTATTATTGTTTCTATTTTTCTGCAAATACATGGCAGTTTGAGTTTAGTATTGAAGTTAAACAACTTTGGCCCTTTCTCGCCTCCTTTGATCTTGCATAACCTTAATCATATTAAAGCCTCAGGTATAAGACTGTCTAAGCAACAAGGAGAGTCCCTCAAGTGGCTTCTGGACTAGCCCCACTTCACCCATCATATCAGTGACAGGGAAGCCTGAAGGCTTTGTCTACATGCAAGTCCAGGAAAGAAACATGAATATCCTGCTTGTGGCTTCGGAATTCACTTCAAATAAAACTTTTTAATAAAAAGCAGATTCCTAAGGGGGCATAGTGGCACATGCCTGTAATCCCAGCACCTTCAGAGGCTGAAACAAGAAGATCACAAGTTCAAGGCCAGCCTCAGCAACTTAGTGAGACCTTTCTCAAAATAAAAAATAAAAAGGGCTAGGGATGTAGTTCAGTGGTAGAGCACCCCGAGTGCAATCCCCAATACCCACAAAATACAGCAGATTCCAAAAAATCAAAGAAGACAGAAGTTCAGCTCTAGGAGGGCATAATAGAGAAAAGAACTTACTAAAATCTGTACATTGTAACATGGATGGAAGTAGAGCTTGAAACATTTATATTCAAGGAAAGATCTTAGAAATTTACAAAAGAGGCTTCTTGTTCAAAGTAAACACAGGGTAACTAATTAAATCAGTAAAAGCAAATGAGACATTTACAACTAAGAAAAGTAAGGTCAAGAACTGCACATGAACTCAGGAGGCAGAATCTAGAAATAAAGAATCAAAATGAAGTTCAATCACTGTTATGAGCAGAAATAAAAAATCTCAAAACGTGTTATAAATATAAATAGGACAGCAGGATAGAAGAAAGAACTGGGGAAGGGAGGAGGCAAGGGAAAGGGAAATACTGGAAAACAATACCACCAAATTATATTCTTACATCGTGTGCATGATTATATTGTTACATTGTGTATGCAACAAATATGTCACACTCAACCCCAAAATCATGTACAACTTAAAAAGATGGAAAAAATTAAGATAAACAGGAAAGCTCGGTGGCCCTAGTGTCTGCACTGTTCCATGCTGCAACCTCTTGCACTGGCCTGAGCTTGCCTGGGAAGGAAGTGAAGAGGAATGCTTCCCAGCGTAAAGGAGGGACAGCCCCACAACACCCTGGGGGAACTACAAGGTCAAACACCAGCATGACAGAAGCTGCATGCATCACAGGGAACACCACCTGATTGCATTCTGGTTCGCAGCACACTCCACACAAGCGTTCCGGAGACACCTGAAGCACTCAGTTATCAGCTGCAGACTGGAAGCCAGATGCTCCACCTGGGATGGGTCCCTGCAGGCCAGCTCCACAGCATGAGAAGACTTCTTTAAGATGTCCAACACTCTTTGGAAGATGGTCCTGGGTGCTGTTTCTCTGGAAGAAGATAAAATTATTACAAACGCGAAAAAAAGATTGACTTCCAAACATCTGGTCAGAAAACTGCTTCACGCCTTCATGGGGAGTTATGCTGGACCTGCCTGCCCCAGCCCCGTAGTCACAACACAAGTCAAGACTACACAGATGGCGCCTACAGTGTGCAGGCTCCCCTCATCCTTGAAGTAACTTCTCAGGCCAATACTCCGTTTTATAGGCAGAAAGGGGGAATCACTGACCCACATCCCTCAGCCAGTGATGGCAGAGCTACAATTAGAAGCACGCTGACCCCAGAATTTCCACCCTACACGACAGCCTAGATCCAGTGCAGATGACTGTCGGTACTTACACATCTGCCATCACCCAATGTGCACCTGAGTTAATGATGAGAACGACTCACCCCCCAGGTATAAGGGAAGCCAGCAACATCCACAATCACTTTTCTACGCTTGACCAGATGGGGCAAGGGGGGACGACATGCGCCAGCTCTCCCACTCAGGGTGCCACTCTGGGCACTTGGCTCCAGAGCACGCCTGCACTGGCTCTCATTCCAGAGCACTAAAGCTAAGAATTTTTTGTGTTCAATTTGGCACCTAAATGCAAGCCAATTTCCACATTCTATAACTCACATAGAAGAACAGCAACCTGTTTTAATGTAAGAAAAACTGCCACGCTGGACAACTGAAGAGACTCTGCTAGTGACCTCAAACACATCCTCCTTGTTCTCACTGTGGACTCAGGACTGACCCCACATCCTTCCTTGTGCTAAGCCAGACCATGAGGAAGCCACACAGTAACTCTGAACTAGGGGCACTGTGTGGTTCTGGCCACAGAGGGTACTTGCTCTACAGATGCCCCTTCCTTTCCAGGGCCAGGAGTAGCACCTCACTGTGAGCTTAAGCCCTAAGAATTCTTGGACACCACATGCGACATTTGTCTTAACAGGCTACAGAAATCAGCTGACTCTCTCTGGGCCTTTGATAAGTCTGGGTTCAAATCTATGTCCCACTTCAATACTGAGAATCCTTACTTTTTCTGTCTGGCCTTTACCTCCCCCAGAGCCCTTCCCCACAGAGCTGGGGACGGAACCCAGGGCCTCCCACACTCTAAGCAAGTGATCTACCCCTGAACTACATCCCCAGCCACTCCCTTATCTTTTTGTAATGCTTTTTATTTTTTAAGACATCTCAAATTTGTTCTCGGAAAGAGGCAGAGCAGAGTATAATCAATTAAAAATTGGAGCCAGATGCAGTGGCACATGCCTGTAATCCCAGCAACTCAGAAGGCTGAGGCAAGAGAGTCTCAAGTTTGAAGCCAGCTTCAGCAACTTAGTGAGATTCCTAAGCAACTTAGCAATAGCCTGTCTCAAAACAAAAAATAGAAAGGGATGAGATGCGGCTCAGTGGTTAATCATCACTGCATTCAATCCCTGGTACCTAAAAAAGTCAATAACTAGAAACACATAAGTCATTCACTTGAATCTCC